TTTAATTATCTTAATATATTATTTTTAATTCAATTTTATATAATTTTATTTAATATAATTAAATTATTTTTTTAGATTTAATTTGATTTCTCCATACGTAATGTAATGTGTTATATATAAAGGGTTATCACATTTAACAACTAAGTTGGACTGGTGTGGTGGTAGCAAAGGCTACCCTTCAACCCCTTCAACCCAGGATCGAATCTCAGAGCGTGCAACATATTTTTTTTTTTAATTGACACATGGGTCGCCATGTCAGCCCAAAAATGCCACGTCATTGACACGTGGAAACACCACGTCATCACAAAAATGCCATATCAGCAGAACGGGCCTCCACGTCACCAGAACAGGCCCAAAATTGGGCCCTGTGATTCGAATTGCAAAAAATAACTAAAGTGGTGTATTAAATTGCTAAATTGCAAAGGTGGTGATTAAATTGCAAAAACATGAAAGGTGGTGCTTTTATATGCAATTTAGCCTAAATAATATTAATAAATAGCATACATAAATAAATGAAACCAAATATATAAATAGCAGTGGATTCAGTGAGACTCTTCCTTAAATGAGAACATGAGATTCGATCTTAATCGTTGATTTGTATACTTTAATGGCTTATATTTATAATTGGAATATACATTAATTATATAAAGATATTATTATTATTATTAAGATAAATATAAAATAAATAAATTTGTTACCGGCGTTCAGTCAACGCTGGTGGCCGTTGATCGGTCAACGACTCAGCCTTTCACAGATCGAGCTCTCTCTGCGGTCAGTACCTCTCGTGTTGCAATCGGCATGCCGAGAACCGCGTTTTTCGGCCGACCAAGAGCTCTTCGCTAGAGACGACGTCCTGGCCACTAACCCACGAGCAACAACCAGAAACCTTGGTATGCCCAAGAGTTTGCCAATACTTGTGAGAAGACATGCAATAAAATGAGTGAAAGTGAAATAAGAAATGAGTGTTATAGCAAGAACGACTCGTTGGTGTAGGGGTATGCATCGGTGCGGTTCTGTGTAAAACCGCACCGAGTCGCAAAAAATTGAAAATAAAAAATTTTCAAAAGTCCAATGTGGACCGCATCGTAATAGAGAAAAAACCGAAGTGCACCATGGAGGAAAAATCGAACCAAAACTTCACCGAAATTTTTCAGTTGCGATCCGGTTCGATTCGATTAACAAAAAAAAGTAATCCAAACAAAATTTATTCAATACATTGTATGTGTACCTATAATATATATAGGTATTTGTGTAATATATTATACCTATAATATAACATAAACTTTATTCGGCGCGGTTCGGTTAGAACCACAGCATTCAACCATAATATCGAACCACACCGATTTTTTTTTTTTTGCGGTTTTCTAAAACTTTAACCGCACCGCAAACCACAATCTTAAAACAACGAATCGCATCGCACCAAATATATCAGTTCAACTCCATTTTTTAGTTTCAGCCCGATTTTGAACACCACTAAATTGATATACTACAAATAATAATCGAAAAAAGATCAATATCAGTTTTTTCTTTCCTCAAATTCCCAAAACATAGAATATCATCAAAACAGTTTTGAGGATTTAGTGGGAAAAGCCTCTATAAAATAATATAAATATATATCTATATATATATATATATATATATATATGTATATAAAGGTTTGAATATTTTTTAAATAATAACTTTTTCCGGCGCAAAAAAAATGTTGTTTACTAATTCTGTAAACTATTTAAACATTTTATGTTATGATTTAAAGATACAATTTAGGTAATTGCGGCTAATTTATTAAGGTAATTAATCACATAAAAATTTCTTTTGTATCTCAAGATATTCATATCATATATATTACATATATATCCTACATTTATTCTTAAAATATCGATATCTATCACATTCCTAACAAACATTAAATTTCTTATATATTTTTAAATTAATCACATCAATAAATATATTAATATACATTAAATATTTATCATTATATAAAAAAGAAATATCACATCTATAAATGTCATAAATAATATTGACATTATACGGTACTAATTTTTTTAATAAAATAATATTTGAGTATTACGATGAACCAACATATGTAAAAATATTATTTTTTTTGTACTAAAAAATAAATATATATTAAAATATTATTTTTATTAATACAGACGAATCAACGGGCTAATACATTGTTAAAATAAAGTTTTGGAAAAATGCTTTACATTACGAAATCCCCGTGCATCGCACGAGATTTTCACTAGTATATATAAAGAGAAAACCTATTTACCAAAAATAGTAACAAAAAAGTCAACCAGCATTTATTACATTCTATTTTCGACAATTTTTGAATGTTTTTTTTTTTAAATTATTCCAAAAAAATCGGTTAGCTATATATGCACCCTAAATTCATGGGTTTGTAGATTTAATTAGATAAATTTGACTAATGCTTACAAATTTACAAAAGTCAAAATTGTTTCTCATTTTTTATTTGAAAAAAATTGTTTACCATAATATCGAGAATTTTGAATTAGACAAAATACTATTACATATATCTTTTCCTAATTGCAACATACTATTGTTTATAAAAAAATTGAATCGCATAGACATCGGGTTAACTTAGGTAAAATTCGACATGTCAATTTTGTAAAAGTCAAAATTATCTCATTTTTTATTAAAAAAAAATATGTTCACCATAGAATCGAGAATTTCAAATTAGGCAAAATACTATAACATGTATCTTTACCTAATTGCAACATATATTGTTTATTAAAAAAATAAAAATTGAATTGCATAGAAATCGGGTCCAATTTTAAATTGAAAGTTAAAATTTTAAAATCCCATATCAGTTGGCTACTACTTTCTTTAGTTCAGATTTTTTTTAAAAACATAAAACAAAGTAAGATAATATTAATTTGAAATTCAAACTGAAATCGGATTAGAACATCCTAAAAATTTTAAATTGATTGTATACACGTACACAATTTTTCCTTCCTTAAATTAACTAATTTACAATTTTAAAATAATAAGACATTAGTTTATCAAGAAAGACGTTTTACAATCTCCGTTATATTTGGCTATGCAAATCTTCATAAAACCAATATAAATCATATCATATATATATGCTAAATAATTTAATTTATTATAAATAATGTCATATACATAGTTGGCAAGTGTTTATTTTTTTTAGATACGGTTTACACAAGGTAGGTTGTTTTCTGTTTAATAATATATAAGTTTTATTTTGTTTTATTCCAATACATGCGTTTTACGTTTTTCCAATCATCCAAATATAAATGTTCACCTTAATAAAATTAGCACGTGTATTGCACGGGTACCGCACTTGTATATAATAACATGACAATATAAATTATTAAAATAATCTGAACCTAATATAATTACGAGAGATGCTACGGCCCCTTACGGAATCATTCCGTCGGTGTTTGCAACCATTAAATTAATTATCTCCAACGATTAAATAATGATTTAATGATTACAAATACCGACAGAATGGTTCCGTGACGTAACAATAGTATTTCCCTATAAATACATAATAACAAGATAATATAAATAATTAAATATAATCTGAACCAAATACCATAGGTAGGTGTACTAGGTATATTCTGCACTACAATTGAATTGAATAGAAAATCCGACTACATACACTACACAAACCTGAAACTCCTTTACGCTCAATTCAAAGCCCCAAAAAACAGAAAAAAGCTCACCAAACCTTAGCACCGCCGGGGAGCTATGGACCCCCGCCGAGTAGTACCCCGCGCGGTCATCGACCCGATAGTCCGCCAAGTCGGGTTCTTCGCCCCCACGGGTCGAACCGATCCGGCACCGTCGTCACCGCCAGTCCCCGACTTCTCCCCCTCCGGCAACACGCTGCCCCTCGTCATGATCCCGCCGCCGCGCCACCTTCCCACTGACCTGTCTCGGAACTTCCACAGGGCTCCTGGCGAATCTTCAATTCCCGTCGGCAGCTACAATCCCTCGGAATTCTTGTCCCCTTCCTACACCACCGATTTTTCCGAGGATCTTAGGGGTAGTTCCGGGGAGTTCGCTCCGCCGGTGACAGCTGTCGTTGTGGACCCGGTGATGGGTGTGGATGGGGCTGAGGCGGATAAGAATGTTGTAAACTTGGCCTCCGATGTACGAGGTGATGCTTTCCCCTGTTTTTTTTTTTTTTCCTTTTTTTTTTCCTTTCTCGTTTTCTGATCTACATTGTTCTTTTTTCAACTTTTCCCCCTATTTAATTGGGAATTTATTTTGAAATTTTTGTGTTTGGTTTCTTTTTGGTACAGATGGAGGACCAAATGTGGAAATTGGGCAGGAGAAGAGGGCTAATGGTGAGAAGCCATTGAAGAATAAGACTACGAAAGCCGAACGGCGGGCTATTCAGGAAGCACAACGAGCTGCCAAAGCTGCTGCTAAAGGTTTGTAATTTTAGTTTTAGTTATGTGATAGGTTAATTCACAGATCATTTGTTTCTCATGAAGAACTGCCTGTTGTAATTAAAGAAAAGACCAATGCATCCATTTATTAGGCCATGTTCTTTATATATCTTGCTTGGAGCACTCTTTTACATAGCTGACGAGATGTATGAACTGAGCTGATATTTTAATTTTGTCAGTTCTTTCGTTCCCAGAAAACAACGAATTTTCTCGTTGTTCTTCATTTTTTCATTAGTTAGGAAGGCAATTCGTGAATTGCAGTGTGTTACTCATATGAACTGTTGTCACAAGTTTTGACTTTCATGGTTTGATTGTCGTATTGTGGGATGTTTTATGGTTCATGTCTGATGATCTTTGAATTATTGGTACTGTTTGTGGCTGTCTGTTTGAAAAAACAGAAGCAAAATATTTTGATGACATTGTTTCATCATTGATACGAATCTTCAATAATTCCCTTTGTTCTGTTTAGGAAGGTGTGTCTTTTATGTTTGCAGGAGGAGAAGTGGTCATTTTAGTGAGGAATGAATGATAATGAGCCAGTTAATCTTTCTTACAATGATTTTATGCATTGTACACTTGTAGCTTCAGCCATCCCTGCATGATTCCATCTTTCTAAATAAATTATTAATTTAAAGAAAACCTATAATTGACACGTTGCTTCCTCGATATAGCGATACGTAGTCATGCTAGACACGAAAAATCTCCTCCGCTTTATATTTTGGTTTAGTTATAGTTATTCTTATCTAATCATTTCCTCATATCATTTTTAAGGGTAAAACATAGTTGAAAGATATAGGTGAAAGCTTTTGTCAACATACACAGTCTTATTTTCTCTAGGGAAATGTGAAACATATTCATGGCACCTTTCATTGCTTTCCCGAATACTGTAATTTCTAGGTGAAGGAAGTAAGAAATCTAAAGCTGCTGGTGGTGCTGCTAATTCTACCAATATGGGGAAACCTGCAAAGTCTATTCCACCGAGGAAAGAAAGCTCTCCTGTTGCAGCTTTCGAAAAAAGAACTGGTGAACACCAGCCGGATAAAGATAGGAAAAAGGACGTCCCTCATGCGCGGATGCAGTTTGATGATGAAAATAAGGTTGAGAAGGCAAAAAAGCGATCTGTGGTGAAACAAATAGAAGCTAGGAATAGAGTTGAACTTTTTAGGCATCTACCTCAGTATGAATATGGAACAAGGCTTTCTGACTTGGGATCGAAGTTCTTCGAACTTGATTCCGTTCATTCTGCTGTTTACAAGGTACTGTCTTTTTTCTCCCCCCTTTCTTTTTTCATGCTCTTTACTACCATTATTAACATGTTGTAACTTGTAAAGACAAAAGGGCATGATGTGTCTCTGGAACTGAAAATTTATGTATTTTTTAGGTTTAATTTCAGATTTAGCCCTGTCTTTAGTTTGCTTACTAACACTGTAATTTGGTCTCTTTTAATATCTTTAGTTTTCTCACCGTACAACGCTATTTAACTTATTTAAGATTTTGAGCCGTAATTTGGTCTCTTTTAATATCAACATTTCACGCCTAAAGGGTAGTATCCAAATTACCCTTTTTTCATTCCCACTCAATGGAATGCTAATATGTAAATTCACGATCTTCAGGTTGGTATGTGGTATTTAGCCGGAGACATTACCGGTGGCAACGCCCGGTGCATTGCCATGCTTCAAGCTTTCCAAGAATCCATCAAGGACTACACCACGCCTCCTGAGAAAATCCTCGTACGGGACCTGACCGCAAAAATCAACACTTACATCTCTTTTCTGATTGAGTGCAGGCCCCTCTCCATCAGCATGGGGAATGCGATCAGGTTCCTAAAATCCCGAGTCATCAACCTATCCCCAAACCTGTCGGAGGCGGAGTCAAAAGCATGCCTCATTTCCGATATTGACCGTTTTATAGACGAGAAGATAATTTTGGCGGATAAAGTTATCGTCAAGCACGCTGTCACCAAGATTCGGGATGGTGACGTGCTCCTCACGTATGGGTCATCATCTGCTGTCGAGATGATTTTTTTGCATGCCCATGAGCAGCTCAATAGAAAGTTCCGGGTGGTGATAGTGGACTCCCGTCCCAAGCTCGAGGGGCGAAAATTGCTACGCAGGCTTGTGGGTAAGGGTATCAATTGTACTTACACTCATATAAACGCGGTTTCTTACGTGATGCATGAGGTGACGAGGGTTTTTCTCGGGGCGTCTTCGGTTTTGTCGAACGGGACTGTTTACTCGAGGGTTGGCACGGCTTGTGTGGCCATGGTTGCGAATCAGTTTCATGTGCCGGTCTTGGTATGCTGTGAGGCTTACAAGTTTCACGAGAGGGTTCAGCTTGATTCAATTTGCTCGAACGAACTTGGTATGAGGAAAACTGAAAATAGGCTATGTTTGGTAACCAAATCTAGCTTATAGCTTATTTGATTAGCTTATAAGTTTCCTGTATTTAAATAAGCTTCGTTTGGTTGGATGGGGTTTTCTAAAAAGCTCAAGCTTATCTCATAAGCTTCTTTGGGTAGCTTTCCAAATAAGCTCGTTGAAATTTTTATTTCAGCTAGCTTATCAGCTAATTTTACCAAACACTTTTATCATATAAGCTAGTTTTTCAGCTATAAGTCATAATCTATAAGCTCGAAAATCGCTTATAAGCTAGCTTTACCAAACACAGTCATAGACTCTCGGTTGGGATGTTTTTGTTAAGATAACTGAAATTGTTGATCAGATTATGTGAGTTACCATTGCAGGTGATCCTGATGTGGTTTCAAAGGTTTCTGGAAGAGAAGAAATCAATTATTTGGATGGTTGGGCCAATAGCAAGAACCTGCTTCCCTTGAACTTGATGTAAGGCTTACAATTGCTTTTGAAGTTTAAGTATTATGCGGATGAATGGTGTTATTATGATGGTTCTCACTCTTTGATTATCTGTTATACCAGATATGATGCCACACCTTCAGATTACATATCGATGATCATAACTGACTATGGAATGGTATGTTGGAATGCAGTTATTAAATTCATATCACTACACTTTGCAACTTAGTATATCAGGTGGTGTTTATTTATTTGTTTTTGTTTTTGTTTTTTGCAAATCTGTCTAGAGGGAATGGTAATGAACTATAGACGGGCGGGATTGGATACAGATTTTTTACGAAACTTCAGTTGAGATTTATGATCGGATACAAAGCATTTCTCCTACATCTCATCGATGCAATTTAAAAATAAAAATAAATCTTTACCGCACGTTTACTAACGAAAAAGTGAAGAACACTTTACACACATATTTCAACTATGAATTATTACCAATGGATATTGAAATATTTATATCTCATCAACTTTATTGACAATCTCAAGCGTATTTCATTGTCAATCCATTGTTTTCGAACAGTTTTCTCTCTTTTATCGGGTGAGACAACTTTCTGAAGAAAATCTATATCCAATCACACCCATTAGTGCCTTCTATTTTTTTTTTTTGCTTTGTAGGTTCCGTTTCGTTATGCCTGCCTTTTATTACAATCTTTCAATAAGCAGTTCATTCAACCTCAATTGACTTGTTTTTTTCCATGCCATATGTGTTCAGATACCACCTACAAGTGTTCCTGTTATCGTCCGTGAATACCGCAGAGAACAATTATGGATGTAGGTAGTTACAATGCATCTGTGTTAGAATCATCGTGTTATAGATGAAAAGCAACAATTTTGAAGACCCTCTTCTGGCAGCTTTTATTTAATCATGTTTAATCCCTTTCGGAATTAAAGTTGTATTTGATCCGTAAATTTCTTTTGATTTTGGATAGAACATCGTTTTTATCTGACCTCTAACCTGACTCGTGACAACCCCTTCTGTGTTATGTGAGTTGAGGTGTTTTTTCAACTATTTTTGTGGATACTGAGATTGTTATTATTTTGTTTACATTAAATTGTTGTCATACATACAAGTGATGCTTCGGGGACTGAAGACAGTCTTTTTGCGGTAAGAGTTCATTTGACTTCTCGTCTCGCAGATGTTCATGACGTAAAAATGTGAAATAAAGGCTTACACCCTATTGATACGGTTTTGATCAGCTGACAAATTCGTTGAGTGTTGGTATATTTCATGTAAGTGGTTCAGAGTTGACATATCAGGATGTGTAACCAAAATAAAAAGAAAAGAAAACAGTTCCTCATGAGCAAAGCAAGAAGAGAGCACCTAAATGCTCTGATGATTTCTAATTTAACCTCTATAAATGTGGTCTTAACCCAATCAAAACCACAATTGTTCATTGATTTTTCAGTCTGTAGTCCCGATCATTCTATTGTACCGAGAGGAATATCCCCCTTTCCATAAACGGGCGAGACAATCCCAAGAATAACGAAACCAGCCAAAACCACAACCAACATGCCTAACGAGTTAACCAGCATTGCCTCCTTAGAATACCGGGTTATTATCTGATGCATCTGCATAAATGTGGCCTTCTCGAGAAAACCAGTGGCGCATGTGGCAACAGCTAAACAGTAGATATAAATGCCGAAATACACGTGCCATGGCAACAAGCTAGTTCGACTGTTTCTCGATCCTCCAGGATACCAAAAGGTTACAAATCCAGAACCCCACTGCACGAGCAATTTATTTGGTTTGAAATAAGAATTTTGCCTAAAGAGGGCTAAGTAACAAAAAGTTCACCCTTTCATCAAATTTTTTACTAGAAAACTCCAGTATCTTCCAAAACTACACGTAAAAACCTTAAGGGTAAATTTCATAATAATCACTCATGAAAATGCAGATAAATGGGGTACCTGAATTGCAAACAAGAAAAAGCAGGCGAGGCCAAGCCACGAGTGGAGACTGTAGAAATTGTCAACGCCTTTCTCGATGTGAAACTTCCAAGCAGCCCATATTCCAATGGCGCTCAGAACAAAAGCTAGGAATTGGAGTGAAAGGTGAACCAGTTTTTTGAAGTTTTTTGTTCCCGATACGGTCTTGTACGCTAGCATGGCTGCAGAAAGAAATCTATGTCAATCACTTAAAATTTACAATTCTGAAAATTATCAAAAAATATGTCTAGATACAAATATTTTCCGACATTAAGCACAAGAAGTTCATTGAAAGAACATGAACAAAGGGAGATACCTATCCAGATCACATAAACAAAATGCAACGATAAAAGGTACATAGCCATAGACAACTACACCTGAGTAAAGTATGCTAATCCATTCTAAACTATATGCAGAAGACAAGTTTTAAATCTAATGCAATCTTATGAACGCAATAAAATCCCCCATTTGATTGCTCCGTTCATTGAAATAAGTTCATTCGATTCGTATTACCCGAAATCGTAACCTACTTCTTCACCTTTTGCCTGTTTGTTCAACAACTCAGTATATTTATCATGCTCAAGTAGATGAAAATGCCACATAAACACTCTTGATTTTGACCTAAAATAGTGAAACTTAGATATAATCAATTATATTCAGGCATTTTCATAGTGGCTTAAATTGCCCATACCTTCGCCATTGAGAAGCACAAGGCTGATCACCATCAACACAGGGTGAACCTGTAAACAAATACCACACACACAATAAAAAAAAACCCCCGATTCAGAAGTCAGTTTAAACAACGAAAATTGAAACTCGCCGTCAATCTTAATAGTTCGCCGATAATTCTTCAGATACCCAATTGAAAATTTAGATTGAGAGAGAGAGAGAGAGAGAGAGAGAGAGAGAGAGAGAGAGAGAGAGAGAGAGCTGTGATTTACGTTAAAGATGAGAGACTTGTCCTCGGATACGAGCGCCATTCCGCCTCTGTAGTGCACAGTCCATATGAAGAGCAGCAACGCAACTGCAACTCCGATGACTCTCGCCGCCGCGAAGATCGGGAACCGTATCGCCGGAACCGCCATTGGAGGATGTTGTTAGAAAGGGATGCTAATTTGTGACTGAGTTATAAGAGTGATTAAGGAGTGAAGAAGGAACAATCATCTCTCTCTACAGAAAAAAAAAACAATGCGAATTCACTTTTTTTTTTTTTTTTTTAATTTCCTTTGACTTTTTGTTAAGATGCTTTGTTTGTTCTTTCGAGGGATAATTATACTTAATAATAATGTATTAGGAACAAAATTGGTTAGAACTATAAATTATAGTACTACAATTAAGTGTTACCCGTATAGATAAATGCTCATTAGTGATGTATTTTTTTGCGGTGAACACATGTGTCCACCGTGAGTAGAAGAGCATTACTCATATAGATAAATGCTCCCATAGTATAATACTCGTTTAGTTTATTATACGGGCACGTGTTAAGAAATTTATATTTAAATTTAAAAGTAAAAAAAAAATACATTTTAATTTTCAAATACTTTTTAGAAAACGATAAATATTATCTATATTTAAAATGACATTGTATTATCATCTTGTATTATAATACATTTTTAGTTTAGATTATATAACTACTTTATAGGTTAATATTTAAATATATTAATTGTAATTCAATTTTTAATATAAAGATAAATATGTACAATAAAGATGTAATCGAAGTTCAAAAGACGCGATTTATTTAATATATTATATAGAAATTGATAATAAAATAAAGAAAATATTAACGTTTAAATATATTTATTAATTAGGTAGTAGATTTTTTATAATCTATATATATATAAACAGATTTACCATTTTTTAAAAATAGCAAGTCAACTTTCTGGTCAATTTCAGACACATTAATTAGTTTCCATTTATGGAATTTTTTTTAGGATATTTTACATAGAAACAAATCATCCCTTAATTGAAGGGATTTAGTATTCAAAAATACAAAAATACACATTATCCTATCCTAATTTGAAGATTCTACATAATTCAAAAAATTCGGTTACTAAGGTATTTAAGCATGTACCTACATTGTTTTTCTTTGATTCAAAACTCATTTTTTTAATTGTTTTTTCGATAATTCAAAGAAACAAAACCCTTAATAATCGGTTTAACCCTTAATAGCGAGTTTAGAGAGAGATATCGTAGGTGGGAGAGAAGCTGAAAGAGAGAAAATTGGGGGAGAAGAGGGCAAGAGGAGAGAGATTGTGGAAAAATCTCAAACAAAGGTCTCTCTGTTTTTTTTTTTATCCGGTGAATCTCGATTTTATCTCCGGTTGTTTTCCGGCGAGTTATGCTCGTGTGACCTACCTTTGATGAGATATCGGATTGAATTTCTGCATCTGTGTG